CACAGGTAATTATAGGTAATTGATGCAAGTAAAACACCTGTGTACCATGGCTCCCTTTAATAGATCAGTTGAGCCAACCTACCTACATTGGACCTGCTCTGTATAGCAAAGCAATGCTGGCATGGGCTTTGGTGCCAGGAACAGAGATCTGGGTTCTGGCTTTGCCACACTCCCTGCCTTTGTGTCTTTGGGCCAGCTCTTGAACCTCTCTTTGCTCCTATGAACTCACTTGTACAATGGACATATTATCTCCTAGTGTTGCTTATGAGGCTTAAATAGGATAACACATATCTAGGGCTTAGCAGAGTACTCAGAATACAGCAGCCCTCAAAAATACCAGCTGTTCATTCAGTTGTTCAACAAATAGCTAGTGAACACCTACTTTGTACCTGGCACTGTTCTAGTCACAGGGGATAAAGGAATGAAAAAAATGAACAAAAATTCCTCCTTTGATGGAATATATAACCTAACACCGAAATAACGCTCACTATTATTTACTATTATTGCTAAACCAATGGGTGTCAATGCCTCCAGGGGACACTTGGCAAAGTCTGGAGACTCTTTTAGTTGTCACAACTAGGGGAGAGTGGCTTGCCACTGGCATCCAGTAGGGAGAGACCAAGGGTGCTGATAAACATTCTACCACGCACAGGACAGTCCGCTACAACAAAGAACCATCAGGCCCCAAATGTCTACTGGGCAGAGGTTGAGAAACCCTGTTCTGAAGGTAATTAACTCAGTTAATACTTAAAACACCCAATGAGGTAGGAATTATAAGTATAGATATTTTCTTATTATTTTATAGTAACCAATAGTAATTATGTATTATACAGTATAATGATATACATATCATATTCACAGTAATATTTACATATTATATGTAAATATATACTTTATTTGTAAAGCAATATAAAAATTATATATAGATACTTTAAAACGTATCTTCCTAGTGTGTGCTGTTTTAAAAATTCAGATACGTTTATAAAATAGATTGAATTCGATTTACAACCAATGGCTATACCCTTGTGCCATCTACCTTTTAAATGATTAATAATCTCTCCTGATCCTCACTCACATGTTACAGAAAGGGATCTTCTGAGCCACGTCCACGTGGACTTGGGTAGCAGAACAAGGGGGTCACTGTGGTACAACGCAAACACCAGACCAGGAGCCCCGAGGTCCTAGATCTCTCTCCATTATCTCACTGCCTGTGCAAAGCACTTAACGCCTCTGGGCACCAGAGGCCCACCGTCCCCAAAACATGGGGCAATAACGCCTTTTTTGGGGGGGGTTCAGAGGGTTGGTAGGATGAAATGAGATTATGTGCAACTGTGCCATGGAACCTCAGTGAGCTTTACCACCACCAACTAACATGCTCGAGTTACATCTTCTTGTCCTACATTTACTCACTGAATGCCACTACAGCCCAAGAGGTAGTATTGGTGATCAACGGCAGGTGCAGATAAGGACACTGGGCACAGAAGAGGGGTGACCTAATCAGGTTACAAGGTCAGTGAGTGGCAGAACACGGGTCTCCCCACCATGCACTCTGGTTCCAGAGCGTGCCCTCTTAACCAGGGTGCGCCTTTCTTTCTGGCTGCTGTTTGAGGCACCTGGAGCACGCCCCCCACATTAGCAGTCCTCCCAGGCCACACTCATCCTCCTCTTGACGTTTCCAAGAGCTGCTCTCCAGGCAACCATGTTTACCCCCTAGTCCTGACTAGCCAGCCAGTGGATGCATTCATCAAAGCAAAGAAGAACGACGTCTCATTTGAATAAGTTTTTGAATTACTTTATTTCTTTTAAACAAGTAGTATGGCATTTTTTTCCTTTGGGTAAATACCCAGTAGTGGGATTGCTGGACCGAATGGTAGGTCTACTTTTAGTTCTTTGAGGTATCTTCACACTACTTTCCACAGAGGCTGTACTAGTTTGCAGTCCCACCAAGAGTGTGTAAGCGTTCCTTTCTCTCTGCACCCACGCCAGCATCTGTTATTTTGGGACTTTTTGATAAAAGCCATTTTTACCGGGGTTAGGCGATATCTCATTGTACTTTTGATTTACATTTCCCTCATCATTCGAGACGTTGAGCATTTTTAATGTTTATTAGCCATTTTACCAAAAAGACACTCGCACTTGAATGTTTTTTTTTCTTTTCTTTTTTCTTTTCTATTTCAGCATATTATGGGGGTACAAATGTTAAGGTTATATATATATTGCCCTTGCCCCCCTGCCCCCTGGAGTCAGAGCTTCAATGTTTATTATAGTACAATTCATAATTGCAAAGATGTGGAATCAAGCCGAGTGCTTATCAATTCATCAGTGGATTAATAAAATGTGGCATATATACTATGGAGTACTTCTCAGCCATAAAAAATGATGAATTAATAGCTTTTATAATAGCCTGGATGGAACTGGAGCTGGTGCTCCCAAGTAAAGTATTCCAAGAATGGAAAAACAAACACCACATGTACTCACTAGTGGTTCATTGGAATTAACCAATCAGCACTCACAAGTATGTATAAGAAGTAAAACTCATGGGAAATCATGCAGGTGGGAGAGGGGAGGGAGGATGGGTGAAATTACATCGAATGGGTACAATGTACACTATCTGGGTGATAGACACACTTACAGCTTTGACTCAAGCTGTACAAAAGCAATCTATGTAACCAAAACATTTGTACCCCCATAATATTCTGAAATAAAATAGATAATACCCGTATACAGTATACCCTTGCAACACAATACAAAATTCAAAGGCACAGAGGGATATATGGTGACAATGGGTTCTTATTCCTACCCTTATTTTGCAGCTACCCAAATCCTTTCTGTTGAGACAACCACCACTACTAGTACCTTGTAAATCATTCCAGAAATGTTCTATCCAATATGTTCTTTTTTCTAAAATAGATATGCAACTTGTACACAAATAGTATACAAAATATGTTATTTAGCAACCTGACTTTTTTGCTAAACAGTATTTGGGAGATCAGTCCCTATTCATGCATATAGAGCTCTCTTTATTTTTATTAATGTCTGAAGAGTATTCTGTAATTTATTTAATCAATCCTGAACACATGAATATTTAATGTATTTCTCATTTTTGACAATGCTACAATGAATATTTTATGCAAGTATCATTTCTTACATTGCAAAAATATACTTAAGATATATTCCTAAAAGTGGAATTGAGTAAAAGGGCATGTGCCTTTTAACATTTTATTGAAACAGCTAAATTGTTCTCCATAGGGGTTGTACCAATTTATACTCCCACCTAAAACGCACGAGATCACCAATGAGTTTGACTTTATTTCTATACTCTCATCAAACAATGTCATAAAAAATGTTTTATCTTTGTGAATTGGTAAAAAATTATATCATGTTGCATTTTAATTTGCATTTCTATTATTATGATTAGATTTAGAATCTTTTCATGTGTTTCAGGAACCAACTGTAATTCTTTTATCTGCGGTTGTTCTGTTCATATTCTTTACCTGTTTCTCTAATGAGCTGGGGTTTCCCCTTATGAAATTGTAGGAGCTCTGTATCTATGAGAAAAATTAACCATTTGTCTGCAAGATGCATGTATTTCCTCCAGTTTCATACTGTTTGCCTTTGCAATAATATTTGATTTGTAAGTATGATTTGATTTTCTCAATCTTTTGCTTTTATAGCTTCTGAGTTTATTTTATAAACTCATCCATGGCTTCTATCCATGGGGAATTATTGGCTCCAGGAGCCCTTGGAGGATACCAAGACCTACAGATTCTCAAGTCCCTTATATCAAATGGTATAGTATTTGCATATATGAACATCCTCCTCAATACTTTAAAATATCTCTAGATTATATAATACCTAATACAATGTAAGCTATATAAATAGCTGCTATATTTTATTTTTATTGTTGTATTTTTTTAATCATTATTATTTTTCTCCCCAGATATTTTAAATTCATGGTTGGTTGAATCTGCAGATGTGGAATACACAGAAAGAAGGACTTAGAAAGGTCTTCTCTGCTTGGAGAGTAGAAGAAGAAATCCATTCTTCTTAATTCTTTTAGTATCTCTGGTTATTTTTCAAAGTTTAAATCTTTGAAGCACCAGCATTTATTCTGGTGTACAGTACGAGTTGGCATTCAACTTTCTTGTTTCCATATGGCTATCCAGTTGTCACAATACTTTTTATTGAATAATTTATCCTTTCCCCACTGATCGGAAATGCCAGCTTTATTATGTACAAAATCCCCATATTATTATATTTGGATCTATTTCTTGACTTTCTGTTGATCTGATAAATCAATAAGCAAATACCACAGACTATTTTAATTACTGTAACTGAATAATATGTTTTCCTATCTGGTAGGGCTAGTTCTCTTCATTATTTCAGTTCTAGAATTTTCCTGGCTGTTCTTTAGGAACTTAGAATTCTGTTATATTTGTGAATTAACTTGGGAAAAATTTATACTATTAAGATGCTGAAGCTTCCCATCCATGGATGTTGTATACTTCTCCATTTGGTTCTAGTCTATTACCTCTCCCCTTCTTTAGACGAGCCTCTGTAACATTTTAAAGTTTTTTTTCGTATAGATCTTCCTTTACTACATTTATCCCCTAGAGTTAGGTATATATTCCTATCTCAGTAATGTTATCACATATATGTCTAATTTCTAAACAGACATGGCAATAAAACTTGTAAGTTATGGCTTTAGGTATAAAGTCACTCATTTCTGTTTTGGTTTTGGTTAAGTACCCAGCTCTTAAAACTCAGCAAACTCAGGATTGAAAAATTCACTAAGACTATAGTCATACAACATACCTCTTTTTAACTCCAGCTAAGAAATATTTTTTCCCTCAAATGTTTTAGAATGAAAATAGAACTCATTAGATTTTTAGAAACCTCTGCTCCATGTTAGGTTCATCCTCAATTCTGGGAGTTCATAGATTCTAGTGATGTTATACTACATACTAAAGTTTTTGTTAAACAACAAACACAAAACTTACCTCCTAAATTCATTCCAGCTTGAAGACATTTCTGAAGTCTGCAGGCAGGACAATTCTTTCTTCGAATCTTATCAATGATGCAATCATTCCTTCCAGCACATAAATAGTTGTGTTGCCCTGATTAAAATAATAGAAAAACAATTGTTAAAAAAAACTATTATACTAAAATAAAATACTAATATGTATAATAATAATACAAAACTTCTTCTTTCTTGCCATGACATCTCTTTTTCAAAAAAGTAGAAGGAAAACATGACTTACAGATAGTAAAGACTAGGAGATGGTCAGCTTAATGCAGCTGAGACTTTATGTTACATAGGTTAACACTATATTTATTTCCAAACAGATTCTCATATAAGTAGAGACACCTTTCCCCATTGTTTAAAGTTTTTGATAGCTGCATGGCTTCAGGCAATGGTGCAAATTTCTCGCAGGCATCACAACAGAACCATCTAAACAAAGGCTCCACTGCAGCCGTTTAATGCCTGCCCACCCACCATTTACACGTGCGACTTCACTAGGAAGACTTTCAAATTATACAATTGGAAATGCTTAACTATTTCATTCTGTAAACAAACCTGGAACTAAAAAAAAAAAAAAAAAATTCAGATGTAGGCAATGCATAGGCTAAGTGAGTAGCATTTACTGGCAAATATGAAATTGTAGCCTACCTCCATTATTTATTCAAAAATAGTTCCCAAACATGCACTAGGTACCAGGCACTACTAGGAGCACCTGAGATGCAGCAATGGCCAAGACAGACAACAGTCTCTGCTCTTGTTAATTTTCATTCAATTTGGGGGAGACAGATGAGGGGATCAGGAAAATTACACAAAATGGTAGACGGCAATGAAGTGCCAGGGAGAAAAAGGAACGGAAGGGGTACATAATAGGATGGAGGTAGGAGAGGGTATTGAAATTTTAGACCACACGGGTTGGGCCTCATGGGAAGATGATTTTAAATAAAGTCTAAAGATGCTTTGGTATAACTGTGCGGACATTGGGTGGAGAAAATAAACCAGGTAGAGGGAAAAGCAAATGAGGGGGGACAAGGGTGAGGCGGGACACTTGGCATGTTTTAGGAACAGCGAGGATACCAGAGTGAATAAGCAGAGAAGAGTAAGTAGAGAGTGAGAAAAGATAAGGATAAAGAGCCGATGTGAGCCAGATCTCGTGGGGTTTTGGAGGTCACATTCATGACTTTGGCCTTTACTCTGAGATGGGAAGCCACCAGCCTAGAGGTCTTTGAGCACAGAAGTCACCTGATGTGCTTTACTTTTCACAGCATCCCTCTGGCTGCTGTGTTGAAAACTGACTGCAGCGGACCAAGGACAGAAGCAGGGAGACCAGGGGTGGGAGGCAATTATTACCAGCTAGGGTAGGGATGAGAGTGGCTGGGTCAGTATAGTAGCAGTGACAGTGATGAGAAGTGGGTAGACCCAACTTGTACTCTGAAAGCAGAGCTGCTAGGATTTGCTGGTAGACCAGAGGAAAGGGGGAATTAAGGAAGCACTAAAATTCTTGGGCTAAACACATACAAAAATGGAACTACCATTAATTAAAAAGGGGGGAAGTTCTTGGGGAATCACCCCAGCTCAGTCTCAGACATGCTAAGTCGGGAACATGCATCCAAGTGGAGGTGTTGGCAGTTAGAGCCACAGACTCAGGGTTAGGAGGAGGGCTGGGCTGGAGATGTAATCAGTTGACGGAAGTTATTTTAAGCCATGAGACTGGGTGAGGTCATGTGGTGGGTAAGCGTAGACTGGAGAGAGAAATCAGGACTGAGTCACAGGGCCCTGCAAATACGCAAAGAAGAAGGGGGTCCTGCTGATAACCGTAGCGTACGGAAGAGGCTCCAAGGCACTTTCTCTAGCCCAGTACCGCCATGTCCATGTGGCTGAGAATTACTAAGCAAATTACAGCAAATACTCAATAAAAATAATGTGCACTGCTTAATGTAATTGAACTAATTTAATCTAGAGCACATTCTCTGTAACATTATAGTCAATCTTAGTAATAATAATAACAATAAAATAATGGTAATAGAATACAGAACTCTATCAAAGTGAAGACATGAAACTCCACCATTATAGTAATCCAATGCCTTTTTCAAAAAAAATTGAAGGCTCTTAATGAATATAGGTAGGTGTAGATAATTACACAATGGCAATCAATATCCACAGTTAAGATGGTAACTGATTAATATAACATTTCATGATGCTGTACAATATTATAGAGAAGAAGTACCCAGTTTTGAAGTAAAATTGCAAGGCCATATTGTGGTAGTATCTTATTTAAGCTCTACAACAGCCCTATGACACAGGGGAGAAAAATATCATTATTGCTATTGTTCACAAGACGAAACTCACGATAGAACTGGTAAAGTGAATTCCCAAAAAGGTGTCACTTTGTGGAAGCAGAATCCAGGAAGTCTGTTAATATTGCTATGTAACAAGGCCATAGGGTTTTCTAAACACCAATTTGCCAAATAGTTTACTGGTGGTCTAATGGGACACTAAAAGTGCTCTTTGGAAATGAGAAGCAGAGGAATATTCTTTGAGTGAACAATTTACTAGCCAGCATCTCCATTGGCGGTTTGCACTGCCAAAGGCGGTGCCTTTTGGATGGTATGAGATTGAATACAGAACCACAGATTTCATCTATAACACACACTGAACTGAATAAACTGTGAAGTCCAAAGAAATAGCTAAATACAATTTTGTTCAACAAAATTCAACAAGTACTTATGGGTAATCTCCAATGTGTGCAAGGCCACAAAAAATTTGCATCTGGAGTTGGTCTGATGTAGTCTAAGGTTTTCTTTCACTTTTATGAATTCATAATAAATGGAACTAAGACTTTTAGATTATAGGCATACAAAAATGCATAAGAAATAGCCACTGTCTTGCACACACACTGGAAGATTCTCTTCTCTGGGTACTCAAAAGCCAAGACTTCTAAACGTTGGAACTGTTCTATAAAGAGTTTTTAAAAATAAATACCCCATAAATCCTACACATTATATATATCACATCACTATGTACCCCATAAATGTACAATCATTTGTACAACTGTACATATGTACAATTATTATGTGTCAATTAAAAAAGAGAAAATAGATTATATCAAGAAAGAAAAGAAAGAAAAGAAGAGAAGAGAAGAGAAGAGAAGAGAAGAGAAGAGAAGAGAAGAGAAGAGAAGAGAAGAGAAGAGAAGAGAAGAGAAGAGAAGAGGAGAAGTCAGTTAGTCCATGTTACTGTAACAACTAGAAAATTATTTCCTTCCTGGTACAACGTTTCACCTTCCACAAACAGGACAGGAGAGCTGCTGTCGCAGACATGTCATAATAGTTTTCAGACAACTTCATCATTTATATTTTTAATTGTGGAAACATTAAAGATCTTAATTGTACCTGTACAACTATGGAATGTGTGTCTCATCCTTTAATCTGTATTAAAACACCCATCACAACAAAAACAAGAAAATGCATCTAGAAAACATGAAAAGCATCTGGTCATGTCCATTTTCAACACTGTGCTCTCCTGGTGTTAAGAAAGCAAATCCAGAATATGTCACAACTTAGGCTTTTTGGGATAAAGGATTTTTATTATAATGCTCGTAGACGGCAGACAGCCCAGAATGCTGGGGAGCAGACAGTGGAAGCCTTGAATGACAAGCTCAGGAACTCAGATTTATTCAGCAGGCGACAGGATGTCACTGCAGATTCTTGCTGAGACAATGTGAGCTCCAGAGCTGTGTTTCAGAAATGCGAGTCTGAAGATTATGCAATAGGTAGGTGGAATGGGAGTAGGGGACACTATTAACAGTCCACTGGAAAGTTCTCAGAGATGGCCCCTATGCAAATTAGGAGCAATTTACTAGTTAGAATATGTAGCCACAGGAATAATCCTGTGGTTAAAAAAAAAAATCAGCGGTAAACAAAACAAGGCTTTATTTCTCATTTAAGTTTCACGTCCACTGTGAGGAAAGTTCTAGTTCTAGTCTGGCAGAATAGCTTAAATCATATAAACCCCCCGCAGACAATTATAAACTGTCCACCAAAGGAGTGGGGGGCAGACAGGAAGATTTGAGGATACTGGGGAGTGACCAATGGTAGGCAGAAGCTGTATGAAAATAGACTCTTGAAAAAAAGAAAAGCAGTCTAAAAAAGGTGCATGTTTGGATGGCTTTTTCCCTGCAAGCCTTGGACTCCACACATTTAGAGCAGAGGGGCTAGAAACCAAGCAAAAAGCCTCAATCTTACTGATCCAAGAAGGCAGAGAACAGACTTGGGGACTGCCAGAACAGCTAGAAGTGACGGAGAAAATTCTGGAAAGCTGTGTGTCTGGGTGAAGCAGGGGGGAGAGACAAAAATCTACATATTAACTATCCTCGAATTTTTGGCATGAGACTCCAAAGAGTCCGGGGGGGTAAAACAGTAACTTAATGCTAAAAACTCTGAGCAGATATGTCAGCTGCTGCCCACCACAGGGGCACAGAGCTGGAATCCCACTAAATTAGGACTCAATAAATACCTCAGGCTTTCCACTGAAATTCCAGAGGGCCCATGCCCTAGCAAAGAAATACTATACCCCACGATTAAGGCATTTAATTCCAGGATTAAAGGCAAAAGCAAAACAGACCTATACTTAAAAAAAAAAAGCATAAAGCAAAGGCTCAACAAGTTCAAGGCGATCTGTCAGTAATTTAGAATAAAACCCAATATTCTTCAGAGAAATAGAATCCAGAGTCTCCATCATGTCCAGAATACAATACTAACTATTAGAAATACAAAAAACAAAAGAAGAACCAAAGACTACAGGAAGACAAGTCGGTAGAAACAAACTCACAGATGACCCACAGGTTAGAATTAGCAGATGAGAATTTTTAAACTGATATGTTAGAATATACAAGAAAAGATGACTAGAAAGAGTGAAGAAATGTGGACTTATCAGGAGAGATTTGGAAACTAAAAACAAAGTAAACATAGGAACAAAAACAGATAGAAATGTGATAGGAAATTTGAAAAGTACATTATATAAAATATTTATTGGTTAGAATTAACAATATATTGGACACTGAATATACTGGATCAATGAAGTTAAACAAATAGAAAT